GGAACATATATTTTTTGTATATTTATTTGTATCTATAGTAATTAAGTGTGCGGGTAAAAAATCGGGTCGGGTAGAAAAAACCCACCGGGTAAACGGGTCGGGTAAACGGGTTTTTTTGGTAAACCCGTACCCGACCCGACCCGGTCTCCGGGTACAAAAGAAAAACCCAAACCCGACCCAAAACCCGCTCTTATCGGGTATACCCGACCCGATTTTTCGGGTTACCCGCGGGTAACCCGACCCGGTGGGTTTTTCTGACAACCCTACCCGGATCAGTCTGGTGGGTCGATCCAGGAGTCGGTCGACCGGAGGCGGAATCGGTTCGGGTGGGCTATTCGGATCGGGCAACAAAGAACCCGGTCAAAACATGTCTACCCCGGCCTTGACCCGATCGACCCGGGGTATTGACCTGACTAGGTCAACCCGGTTGATCCGGTCTCTATTTATTTTTATTATTTTTTATTTTTTAAAATATTTTTGTTTTTAAAATATAAAACTATATATAGATATTAATATAGTAAATTTTTGTCATGAAATACATATTATTAACACTTTAAAATACAAATTTTATATACAAACCAATTAATTTTGCTACTTTTATTTATATTTTTACAAAATACTCTATATATAATTTACAAAATTTAAAATTAAATATATGGTTCAACAATTGACTCAGTAACTCGTCGATTGAACCGGTGACCCGATAATCCGAAAACCTGCCCGGGTCAATTTCCAAGCCGGTTTAAAAACTCGTTGAAGCGCATTAAAATTCGCGTAGTTCCTAAAATGCATACGCTATTAATGACGTGACACACTTTCCTCGCGATATCTTCTGCTTTATACGCAATACCGTAAATTTCTCACGCTATTTGACCCTTTTTTTACTCAATTTTATAAGCAGAACTTACAACAACAAACAACAACAAAGCCTTTTAGTCCCAAACAAGTTGTGGTAGGCTAGAGATGAAACCCAATAGAAACAGTAGTAAAAAAAAAAAAA